CCCCCCCCCCCCCCCCCCCCCCCCCCCCCAGTGAATCAGCTTGAGGATAAAAGGATAAAGCACGAAGTCTTGAACGTTGATCAACCCTCTCTAAGGGATGAGTCTCCGGCTAAGACTTCCTTCTGGAATTGCAGTGGCGTATTGAATGCTTTTGTGGCCTATACAATGACTTGCGTTGGTCAGCTGATGAACCAGTCAGTGCTTTTATCCTCCCAGCGAGTATGGTACCAATCAACAAATCCCAGAAAGATGGACCGCTTGGCTTGCTTGGGCAGATATCGATCGGGGACGAACTCGTCATCATGCGTGCGTAATAGTGCGCCACTCGTCACTACACTAACTCCGCCCATTAACACCTATAATATGTAGACTGTAGAGCAGTATACAACAACAGATCTTCTTCATTGGATTTATTTAGCTTCCTTACTAGATGGTTAGGAGTAGCAGCAATTGGAGTGCAATGACTCAAGATCCGCTGATCGAATCGGTAATCGATACTCACCCTAGCCAACAGAGGCTTCCATACTTTTAGGGTTGGTAAGGGGGCAGGCTTCGTGTGCGAGTGTAAAAGTAGTAACTTTTACATTGGTTGATCAGTTACCACCGCAAGTCATTGTATAGGCCACATACGCATTCAAAGCGACCTTTCAATTCTGAATGAAAGTCGAAGGCGTGTCGCGAATGGACTGATTCACGCTGGTCACCCTGGTTTTTAACTGGCCTTTCACAAGGACTGATTACCGCCAGCAGTCATTCCCCAGTACTTATCGCCGATTCCCCAGGGTGAGTGCAGTGGTTAGACTACCGCATCCTTACACTGGGAATTCAAACCATTCCCCCATTCCCTTTAAAGCGTCCCTTCGTGGNTGCGGCGCAGCGCCGTTGACCTTCGGGAAGACGTACCCACTGCCCTTGCAGAATACAACACTTCTTGTCTCTTTATTCCCTTTACAACTAATGTTTTACACGAATTCAGAGAATAATCATCTCCTTCAATTCTCACAAGAACTTAAAGCTCTTACTAGTAGTCATAAATAAAATGATGAAGATGATACAGCAATAGTATACTTCGTCTTGAAGTCCTGAATTTGATCATGGGAGAACAACAAACAAATAAACAATCTCGTTTGTTGCCTATCCAACCGCGTAACGGAATTGCTGGAATTAAGTGGTATAGTGTATACAGACAGATCTCTCATTATAATTTGATATCACTTGAAATCACCGATATCACTCGTAAGCCTAGCGACTAAAAGACCCTCCAAAACGTCGTTTTCACAGTTCAGAATTAGGCCTCAGTCATAGTTTGGAGCATATTTTGATCGACCAATGGTTTGCTATCAGTCTCCGGACCCTTTGATCGAGATGGTGTTACTCGGTAGGAATCCCATGGCTGCACATCTCCTGCAAAGAAGGTCTTTGGGAACCCAGATCGTATTTGTAAGTTGCTACTTTCCTGTAACTTACCTGATCCCCAAAGGAAGAACAGTAATGCTGATATAACGGTCATGGCAGAGTATACTAGCAGGATTCCTCTCCATTCCTCAGCTGTGCCCTAGAAGTAGAAGGATTTCCCAGTTTTTGGAATCTAGTCAAGTAAATCTGAAGTCTCAGGATCAAAATAAGCTTACCACAGTCTTGAAGAAGGTGATAATCTGGGGAGCAGCCAAACGGCCACCAAAACCTGTAACCAGGATAAAGTAATAGCCAGTATAGCAAGTACAGTTCATCAACTTCCTTCAACTCACCGATCACTTGGGAAGTACTGGTAAGAACTCCGATAAAATTAGGCGACAACGACAAAAGGCTTGTCAAGAATCCACTGATGGATAGGCCGAAGGCTGCTCCAATTGTACAAAGCAGAAACAGTGCCAAGCCATGGGTAGAGCAATCTACGCCGTAAGCCAGCCCAAGGAAGCAAAGGCACAGAGTCATCATCGCTGAAAAGTTTATCGAAATGGGTTTTCCGCTGCACTTATTAAAAAGGTTAGTCTCTGGGCTTTGATCAATCTCGTTTGAGGGATGCGCCCCGCACTCCACTTCCCTTCAGAATCGTAGTGGCGTATTGAATGCGTATAAGGCCTATACAATGACCCTTTGTGACCAGCCGATGTACAAGTCAGTGCTTTCATCCTCCCAGACAGGTGTGGTATTCACCAAACGACCCGGTTTCACTTCGAAGGAGTAATGGTTACCTACCAGGAAATCTACCCGGTCACACTAAAGCGCCGAATTTTAAGGGCAGAAGGCAGGGTAGCAGTACTAAAGCTGAAGAGCTTCTCCAAACGTATCCTGATTATATAAGGCGAAGGGTACGAAAATTGAAAAAAAAAACCGCTCGAGAACTTACAGAGCACTTGTGACAGCTTTACAGTCTGAGTTGCAGTGAGTATTTTTTTGCTTTTCAGATAGTCCATCAGAAAACCCCAAACAAGTTTTGATATCAAGTTGAACACATGCGGAAGCATCGTATAGAGACCATTCTGAAATATGAATCATCGGGCTACCAAAGTCTTCGGAAAGCACTTGGTGGTTTATTCAGAAGTGCCCAGGTTTTTAAGAAATGATTTGGAAGCTCTCACTGAAATACTCTCTACTCTCGTATAAAAAGACACTACCACACATGACTATAAAATCTGGAGATTCCATATTCGTTTATTTGTTGACAAGATCGAAACTCATCTTTGACTTTCGTGTTTCAGCATCAGGAACGTTGGAACGAAGCGTGTTCAGAAGTGAAGAAGGGATTTTAAGACCAAATGATAGACGCGAGTTTCAATAGGTTTCAAACGGAGTGACCGAGTTAGAAGTGGTAAAGAAGTACGTCTTGAATCTGGGTTGACAGTTTGGCCATTATATGGTCAGATAGGGAGCCGGCTCTGCTGCTTATAAACTTAGGAGTGTCCTCATAAAGAAATCCCATTGAAACTTTCAGAATACTTTAAAAAAAGGCATATACTTCTTAAACACCTGACTGTTTCTGAACGACCTAATACATGGCGATCTCAGTGCGTCCCAACCAACCCATTGGATGACCATTTTTTGACTGAGGCCCTACATGTTGACCGTAAATATGAGCACAATAGTAAAGCCCTCAGACACGTCGCTACCAGTAGGAATGTTCATTCAGTAAGAGATCCTCTACGAAACACTTGAAGAGAACTTGAGCAGAAAGCAATACACATGAAAATCTATTAGAAAGTAATGATCATAGGGACTGCTGAAAAGAATTGACGAGAGCAACATTCAGAGCTTGGACGATCCTACCTGTTTCACTTCGAGCAACAGAACATCTTTGAAATAGACGGGGATATAGACGAGTATCATAGCGATCATCATATTTCCAATGATACTCGAATAAAAAACAACAAGTAATGGAGCTGAACGAGCCATCGCATGCCATGGAATTACCTGAAAGATTTCTCTTCAAGACACTGATCCTTCAACTGGAAAACTAGCACAAGTGCCAAGCAGTGGATCTTAAGAGAGAGAAAGATAAAATTGACAAACAGTATGAACAGGGTTTCTTCAGACCTTTTTCTCGGTTTTGACATGCTTTTTCGGCAGATGATGTTGGAGATATTTCACTTCATGATCGCTAATCCATTTCGAGTTGGCTGGGGAGTTGTTCACAGTAAAATGCCATACTATGCACCAAAGAAAACCAAGCAAGCCTGTAATAAATCAAATTGAATGTTCCTTATCAGGAAAGGATAGATAATAAAGTATTTGGGCGTTGATCAATCCCGTATGGGGATGAGCCCTGGCAGTCAACTTCCATTTGGAATCGTAGTGGTGATTTGAGTGCATACGTGGCCTATAAAACGTATTCCCTTTGATCAGCCGTAGTACAAATCAGCCCTTCTGCCTCCAAGACGAGTTTGGTACCAAATGACCGATCACGAAGGCACGGAAGGCTCGATTGGTCTAGGCGGATATCAATCTGGGACTAGATCCCGTGACTGCTCATGTGAT